GAGCCTCCAGAGTTCATCTGCCCCAGACACTCTTTTGCCATCTGTCCAAGGAAGGCAAGAGGGTGATGGGGACACTTTTCTAGGCCAGAATATGGTGGAGAGTGCAGAGACTGAACTAGATTTATTTTTACTTTTTTTTTTTTTTTTTGGAGACAAGGCCTCACTCTGTCACCCAGGCTGGGGTGCGGTGGTACAATAATAGCTCACTGCAGCCTCGAATTCCTGGGCTCGTCACTTGATCCTCCTATCTCAAGCTTCCCAAGTAGCTAGAACTATAAGTATGTGCCACCATGGTCGGCTAATTTTAAAAATTTTTTGTAGAGACAGAATCTCACTCTGTTGCTCAGGCTGACCTTGAACTCCTGGCCTCAAGCGATCCTCCTGCCCCAGCCTCCCAAAGTGTTGGGATTACAGGCGAGTCACCCTGCCTGGCCAGGACCCCAGTGTCTTCAAGTAGTTCCTTTGATGCGTAACAGATAGGCTGTGGATGGACTTTCCAGTGTCAGAGAAATCTACCAAGGCCTAAAAATCTTTAGAGTGATTTAAATACATTATCATTTTCCAGATGAAGAAATGGGTTCAGATGCTTACTCATGGCCACAGAAACCGTAAGGATGAACCCAGATGACTCCCTGAGTCCCTTTTAGCTCTGAGCCGGTGAGTTGGCCATGTAAAAGCCATTGTCCAAAGCCAAGATCCAATTGGGTCATTCTTCCACTTGATAGCAAATTGGAACCAACCCAATTGCCCAACAGGGAATGATTTGTTTACTATCGACTTGATAGAGTACCTCTTATCCTTTAAAAACCATCCATTAACCAGGAGCAGTGGCTCATGTCTGTAATCCCAGCACTTTGAGAGGCTTAGGCGGGTGGATTACCCGAGGTCAGGAGGTCGAAACCAGCCTGGCCAACATGACGAAACTATGTCTCTACTAAAAATACAAAAATTAGCTGGGCATGATGGCGGGTGCCTGTAATCCTAGCTACTCAGGGAGGCTGAGGCAGGAGAATCGCTTGAACCCAGGAGGCGGAGTTTGCAGTGAGCCAAGATCATGCCACTGCACTCCAGCCTGGGCAACAGAGCAAGACTTCATCTCAAATAAAAAAAAAAAATCCACTTGAGTATTACATGACAACCTATAAAGATGCTTATGACTAATATTAAATGGAAAAAGTAGAATACAAAAGGGTATTTAGATTGTACTTACCTAACCAGGTAAACACATGAGTGCATAGAGAAAAGAACTGCAGTTTCACTTAGATGAATGACAACGGGATGTTGGAGGGGGATTTGGGTGTTTTAAAATTATTGTCACATTGTTTTTCACGCAGCTTAAAGGTCTGGATCATCGCTGCTTACAGATAAAGTACACACTGCCTTGCATGGCCTCCAAGGCTCTGCTCACCCCAACCCCAATCAGCCTTTGCCATTCTGCCACCCTCACCCCATGCTCCAGCCATTGGGTATTCACAGAACCACGAGCCTTCATGCCTCTGTCACTGCCAGCACACTGTGTTCCACAGTCCGCTACTTGACTAAATTCAACTCGTTCACCACTTCAAATGTCACTCCCTGACTCCCAGTGAAAAAGATACAGAAGAAACTCACCTTATTACTTGACTTCAGGGAGGGACTAGAATCAGATGTGGGATGGAGACACAAACTCTTTTCTGAAATACAGTTTTATTGGGCTATAAGTCACATACTGTATCATTCGCCCATTTAAAGTACATAATTCAGGCCAGGCGCAGTGGCTCACAACTGTAATCGCAGAACTTTGGGAGGTCGAGGCGGGTGGATCACCAGGTAAGGAGATTGAGAACATCCTGGCTAACACGGTGAAACCCCGTCTCTACTCAAAATACAAAAAATTAGTCAGGCGTGGCGGCAGGCGCCTGTAGTCCCAGTTACTCAGGAGGCCGAGGCAGGAGAATGGCGTGAACCCAGGAGGCAGAGCTTGCAGTGAGCCAAGATCGCGCCACTGCACTCCAGCCTGGGTGACAGAGCAAGACTCTGTCTCAAAATAAATAAATAAATAAATAAATAAAATAAAGTATATAATTCAATGGCTTCCATGGTTTTTGGTACATTCACAGAATTGTGCAACCATCACCAGACACAAGTTCTTTTGTGTCTTTAGGATTTTGAACATATGAATGTATTACTAACTGAAATAAATAAATGAATCCAGTTAAACACACATAACTATCACCTCTTCTCTGAAGTCCTCCCAGACTCCCACTAGGAATAGATGGCTCCTCATTCTATGCTCCACTAGTCTGTCATAGCTCTTTTTTTTTTTTTTTTTAGACAGAGTTTCACCCTTGTTGCCCAGGCTGGAGTGCAATGGCACGATCTTGGCTCGTCACAACCTCCAACTCCTGGATTCAAGTGATTCTCTTGCCTCAGCCTCCCAAGTAGCTGGGATTACAGGCGTGCACCACCACGCCCAGCTAATTTTGTATTTTTAGTAGAGATGGGGTTTCTCCACATTGGTCAGGCTGGTCTTGAACTCCTGACCTCAGGTGATCTTCCCACCTCAGCCTCTCAAAGTGCTGGGATTACAGGCATGAGCCACTGCACCGAGCTCATAGCTCTTATCTCAGTATTTTTGTTTATTTTTTGTTTGTTTGTTTTTAGAATCTCGCTCTGCCGCCCAGGCTGGAGTGCAGTGGTGTGATCTCGGCTCACTGCAACCTCTGCCTCTCAGGTTCAAGTGATTCTCCTGCCTCACCCTCCAAGTAGCTGAGACTACAGGCACGTGTCACCAATCCTGGATAATTTTTGTATTTTTAGTAGAGACAGAGTTTCACCATGTTGGCCAGGCTGGTCTCAAACTCCTGACCTCATGTGATCCACCAGCCTCGGCCTCCCAAAGCACCGAAATTATAGGCGTGAGCCAGTGCGCCCTGCCAGTGTTTTTGTTTATATAAAGACCTCTCCTCAGCCCAGACTCTGAGCTCTTTAAAGGCAAGAGCTTTTATGAAGAGAGTCATTTTTCTGTACCAATGCACATCTGGCATTCAGGAAGAGTCCCAGAAACGTCCGATGAGTGAATGAAGTTTCCTTTGCATTGTGTAGAGGGGGCTTGGTAGGAGAGGCCAGAGGATGATCCAGCCCTCCTCACTTTCATCTTCATCTCCACTCCAACTCCACCTTCCCCCTTCCTCATCTTGTTCCTTATCCTCTCCCCTCCCCATCACCAACCTCCCCCCATTCCCTCTCCACCCCTCTCTCACTTCCATCCTACTCCATCCCCACCCCTAAATCCATTCCCATTTTGACCTCCATCCATCTTTATTTCTTGAATAGACCCAGTTTTCTGAAATGCAAAGACATATTGCTGGCCTCTTAGAAATAGCAGTGGGAGCTCTGTGGGCTCAGAGACAGCCTCTTCCTCTGAGCGTTCCTCCCTCCACCATGACGTCACTATGAAGGCAATTTTATTTATCACAACAAATACTACTATAGAATTAACAGGGGCCCGACACATGGCAGGGGCTGGAAAATACTTGCTGAAATGAGTAAAGGACTTGTGAGTCTCTGGGGCAGCTGAATGAGACTGTTTCCGTCGCAGGACCCAGATGGTGAGGAGAAATGCCAGAGAAGCTGCAGACCCCCCGGCCACAGAGCCTGAGTGGAGCAGAGGTGGCCCACTGTCAGCCACAGGTCAAGTGTCAGGGTGGGGACAGGACAGGCTCCACCAGGAGGCAGGGCCAGACCACAGGGCAAGGTGGAGATGAGTCTGTGGCATCCCTAGGAAGCTCACCAGACTCGCCCCAGAGCTTCTGACCCTTTGGATCTCTCTGGGCTGCATTCTTCAGGGTCACGTTGCTTCTTTCTTGAAGGTGGAAGGAAATGTTCCCATCAGAGTTTTCCAACAGGCCATCTCGGGGACTTCTCCTGAGAACTCCTTGTGCACATACCCCTTCAGGGTGGCTTGGGTTGTGCCCTCAGACCCCAGTGGGGGGCCATATCTCATCCTCCTTGGTCAGCAGGTGAGCCACAGCAGCAGGCCCCCCACAGACCTCAGCCTTGGGCCACAGGTACCTTCTCCCAATTTCTGCATCTGGAGAAGCAACCTGCGGAGCAGCCAAAAGTGGCAGACCTGGCTCCCTGCAGCATTCATTTTCCAGGCAAGACAGAGCATTTCCACTAATATGACTCCCTTTTTATGTTTTGTTTTTGTTTTTCTTTTAAACGTGGTCTCACTCTGTTGCTCAGGCTGGAGTGCAGTGGTGCAATCATGGCTCACAGCAGCCTCGACCTTCTGGGGTCAAGTGATCCTCCCAATTCAGCCTCCAAATTTCTTTAAAGAAAAAAGTGCAAGAAAGGCAAAACAAGATATTTGTCTGGGCTGAGAGGGTAAAGAGAAGCTCAATCTTTGAGCTGAGACACAAAATGGAAAGAAGAGGCAGCAGCAGCAGCAGTAGCAGTTCTGCCTTTCCAAACCTTCCCCATCTAAGCGCTTTCAAGATACGCTGAAAGTCACAAATCGAAGTGTGGTTCCCACGGCTTTGGTCCTTGTATGAAGGTCCCTTTGCCAGAACTTACTTCCTTTCCAGCCCACATGGTTGACCTGGGAGTCCAGGCAGTTCTCAAGGGAACCATAGGATTCCATGTGATGTGGGATCCCAGTTTATGATCTCTCTTCTGGTCACAAGCTGAATTGGACCCAAATCTGCACCCTGAACTTCCCTCTTGCCAGATCCTGCCTAGTCAGTGCCCTCCCCTCGGGCTGGGTGGGCAGCCTGGGCTTCCTGCTGGGACGGGACCCCTTCTCTTCTTGATCTCACTCCCAGAAAAGACACTGACAGAGCAGAGGTCTGGACGCCACATACTGTGTAAGTTTCTCTTGCCTTGACACACCTGAGAAAGCTTGGTGTTTGAGCCCTACCTCCTCCCCACTTTACTCCCACCCCCAAATCCCCTCCTGGAAATAGTCCCGGTTCTTATTTATGCCTATCCAAAGTCCAAAGTCCACAGCCCATGAGGGGCAGCCCTGGTCAGGCTGGTCTTGAACTCCCAACCTCGTGATCTGCCCACTTCGGCCCCCCAAAGTGCTGGGATTACAGGTGTGAGCCACTGTATCTGGCCACTCCTGGGGCTTTTTAGTGCCTACCCTCAGTGACATTCTGGTCACCTACGCTGGCTGCTGCAGAGTAACAGAGGCTACTGTCACCAGGGCCCTGGGACCAGATGACCCTTCACCTTTTTTATCCTTCCACCCACAAACCCCCAGGACTGCTGCTGACACTTGACCATCCTTCCCCCTCACAAACGCGTACTCCACATGGCCTGTGTAAATGGCAGGAACTCGTAACATCTGTCAGTGTAGGCAGATGACAAGATGACAGGAGGAACATTTTCTGATGACAATGAAAGGCAGAGAGACAAGATGAAGAAAACTGTTCAGAGACATAGGCCCCCACAAGGAGATAACCAAGCATTGTCCTTCAAACAAGACAGTCCCTGGCAGATCCAAGGCTAACCCAGCCCAGGGGCAGAGGAGGACACCAGAAGTAAGGCATGGAGGAAGGAACTACAAGACCTGAGGCAGCAGGGACGCCTGCACGGGACCTCTGCTAGAAACAGAGGGAACAGACTAGGCACAGCAGCTCACACCTGTAATCCCAGCACTTTGGGAGGCCGAGGCCGGAGGATCACTTGAGGTCAGGAGTTTGAGACCAGCCTGGCCAAATGGTGAAACCCTGTCTGTACCAAAAAATACAAAAATTAGCCCAGCATGGTGGCACACGCCTGTAGTCCCAGCTACTCGGGAGGCTGAGGCTGGAGAATCGCTTGAACCCGGGAGGTTGAAGTTGCAGTGAGCCGAGATCATGCCACTGAACTTCAGCCTGAGCGACAGAGAGAGACTCCATCTCAAACAAAAGCCAAAAAACAAAAACCAATAGGGAATAGAAGCTGAAGTAGCAGGAAGACCGAGAGGAGGAGGACTTTGTCAGCATGAGAGGGAACAGACAGAGAGAAGGACCTGCTGTCCAAGGCCCAAAACTGAGATGCACATCTACTGGGGAAAACGCGCTGGGGCTTTGGGAGAACAGTCTGGTCTCTAGAGGCTCCCTACTCACCTTTAAGACCCAGGGCAGGCCAGACATGGTGGCTCACGCCTGTAATCCCAGCACTTTGGGAGGCCGAGGAGGGTGGATGACCTGAGGTCAGGAGTTCAAGACCCGCCTGGCCAACATGGAGAAACCCCATCTCTACTAAAAATACAAAAAAATTAGCCAAGCGTGGTGGCGGGCACCTCTAATCCCAGCTACTTGGGAGGTTGAGGCAGGAGAATCGCCTGAACCCAGGAGGCAGAGGTTGCAGTGAACTGAGATTGTGCCATTCACTCCAGCCTGGGTGATAAGAGTGAGAATCTATCTTAA